AGTACACAGCCACCGGTGTGAACCGAGTATAACTCACAAAACCCAACATAATAATAATAATAATATCTCTTACTTATAAAAGACAAAATATTAGTAATGAAGCCACCAATTAACAGATGCTCCCAAACTTCATCAGCAGTTGAACCAAATTTAAAGCCAAGGTATCACACTTTTTCTAAGACAAAAGATCAACAAACACTCTTAAAAAAACAAAATACTTTGAATTGAAAACAAGAATTAGTAAGAACTTTAAGGAAAAAAGACCTGGAGTAAACAGTATAACCAAAAACTTTTTTTGTAGCAATTTAAAATGCATGCAGTTAGTCAAAATATGCAAAGAATCCAAAATCTCTTCTTCTACACAAAAACTACATGCTTCACTGGAATAATTACTTAGGAAATTTAATGAATTGCACCTTGCCTATATAAAAAAAGACAAAACAGTAAGAGACACATCTTGATTATATAATGAATTATCAAAAAGTAACATCCAATTCTTTATACCAACAATATACAATATTTTTTTGTCCATCAATACCACAAAAATTTATGAAAAATGTTAGTTAGGAGGACAGACAAGTCTATCAACTATACATTTTCACTTTTAAAATTAATGCCATGTTTTTTACATGTACTAATGAGAGAACAAGTTCAATCTATATAATCCTTGTCAAGTAAAACTAATATTTTTTATTAAAATATTTTAAACTTTTATGAGAAGCTGCCTTGCAGGGGATTGGTCTCTTATCACCAAATGGCAGCATCAGACTCTTGAAGCCTGCTCAATTGTCAATGGATGGCTAAAAAGGGTTAGAGTTAAATTTGCAGGAATTTGATCAGGTGACCTTCTGTCCCTGCCGTGATGCCATTCCAGACGAGTGGTGGTGGGCCGGTAAGAGTCGTAAGAATTAGGCAAACCAGGTGGGCTGTTATGCTCTCCATTAGGTTATGCAACTCCTATTATCGTGTAATTATTTAATTGTTGATGTTTCCACATGTCACCAATTAGTTATTCGGATTTATCCAAGAAACTTTCCCAAAACAAAGGAAGAGTTTGTTGACTTTTGATATAACATTCAATCGTCTCCTGTTTACTGATCCTGTAGGAGACGAAATACTGAAACTTGTCTTAAAATTTTAATTGGCGTTATTATCAACAAAACCCCCGTTTTCAGGATCTCACACTTTTATTTGTTTGGCAATATACAGTAAAAACTTCTTAAATTAACGAAATTACTTTGAACATGCCTAAAAGCTGAAATAAGCATGGTAAGTACTGTAAAAACACAGTATATAGGCATACACAATCTGACTTTTGTCAGGTTGTGCATATAGTGACATATATCAAACATATGTGAGTTTGCAATATCCTGTAGGCTAATGAATTTTTCTATATTTAGGAAAACTGCCTTTGTAGATTGCAGGTAACACCTACATAGCCCAACTTTTAAATTAAAATGTTACCATTTAGTTAAACATACTGTATTTGTATTTTTATTATTATTTGCTATAGCTAAGCAGCTTTTGAATGTATTCATGTAGAATATTTTAATTTTAAATGTTTTATTTTAAACTCCTATTTATCCCTGATAAATAAAGAATGCATTCTAATTTTACTTTTGGTTTTAACCAGAATATAATAAAATTTTGGGCTGATTATCAAAGGCTCAGGATGACTTAAATTAAACACTAAATACTTTTACCTAAATATTTTAAGCTGAAATGGGGTGCTTTTTATATGTTGTAAAATATGGTAAATAAATCTACATAGTAGTTGAAATTCTCATTTTACTGATTAGCATTAAAAGAATATGTTAAAACAGTTAATATATGTCCAACTCAAGGATTTATTAATTATTAGTAATTCATTGTATTGTTTGCCTTCTTAATATAAAAAATGTTAAGGGGTAAGTTGTTACTGCAAAAATCAGAGTTTATACATTCCAATCTTTAACAACTTATCTTTTTATTCTTTTTATATTAATTTTAATAGGATGTTTGTTATTGTTATTAGGAAGTGGTTATTCCAAGGCATGTAAGGCTCTTACTGTAACAAATAATAAACAAATATAACAAAACAACTAGCATATAATTGAAGTAATAAATATCAGCAATTAGTGATGGATCCAGAACAACACTAGGGTGGGCTAACTAAAAAATAAGAAATAGCTGCATAATTATAAGTACCTTTTATTAACACCTGAAAGACGATTGTCTTACTTGCCATTGTACAGTAAATGTTTTTAAAAACATTTTGAAGTTCAAATAAACAAATTTTTACTTTTTTTGTGTTCACTGGAAGCGCTTAAGAAATGTATACTTTAGAAACTATATAAATAAATATTTAATTTATAACATAGTATTTCTATAAATTGTTTGCTGTAAACAATCTATCTATAAAAATTTTCTCTTATATGCTCTCATATATAAAGAAAGAAAAAATTTAATTTTTCCCAATATCTATGGAGGGTTTTTATACTCCTCATTGGGATACATTATTAAGTATTCCTGACAACCAGTGCAGGAGTGCTTAATTAAGTAATATTTCTGTAACTTCTATTGATAAAAAATAAAAACTGTACCATTATATTACAAAATTAATGAATTATTAATCTGCTTTGTGTGAAAAAGTTGCGAATATTTTTTTATTATGGTATAATCAGTTGTATTTCTTTGCTAGAACACAATTTCCTATACACAATATGTTTTTCTCACTGCGGATGGCAAATAACTTATGGTGAAAACAAGTTACATTTGTAATCATTATGCCGAGACCAGAAGTAAACTTTCCAAAATAGTAAAATTTCATGGGTTAGTTTTTAAAATAAAAAGAATATGTACATTTAATCTTCAGTAAAATTTTTTAGTTAGTATCTGTGTTTAAAAGTGGAACAAAAAATTTATTAATCATATGTATGTTTGATTCTTAGTTTATAGAAAACTTGATTATATTTATTGGACTGTTTTTTGATGTTTCTGTAGAATTAGTGATTTTACAGGGTAGGATTAATAGACCCAACAAACAATGTTTTGGCTACCCTCTGTAAATTGTAAAAAAATTTTCTTCTCTAGTAAACAGTCTCACATAATCAAGGAATTCCGTTTTAGTTATGTGTAAATTTATTTCTGAAAATTACAGGAGCAATAATATTCTAAGTTTATATGTACAATATACTGTACGATTAGATTGTCTTCCAGAAATTATTTGCGTACTTTCAATTTAATTTTAATTAAAATTTATTAAATTAATGTTTTTATAATATGTTTTGTGAGTATATTTTGAATTTTATCCGTATTCTACTTAGGAAAATTGAATGCCTCTCATAAATGGATGGAATTGATCAGTTTTCATTGTATGACAAGATTTATAATTAATACTGGAACATGTAATGAACCGATAACCATTATCTAACTTTGCTTGTGTTTTTACTTAGTTATTTTAATTAGCATCTTATTTTACATTTCTTTAATTAAGCTTTATGAGTTCTAACTACAAAATGATATAATTGTTAGACTGTAAGACTGTCTTTCTGAATTTAGAAAACCCAATTACTTAGCATCTCACTAGAAATGTGCCAGCTAAATTTTTCTCTATACATAGAATATTTAAATAAAGGCAGTATTCAAAAGAATAGTTTGTAATTAATACTAGTAAATTCATTAGTGAAAAAAGAGTTCAGCATTAGAAATTTGTTCATGGGTAAAGAAAAGTTCCAAGTAAAACTTTTGAATAGAGAGAATTTTCTTTATAAATAAAACTTTTAGGCGTTATCAAGTAGCTTGCACCATGTTTTTTGGTTCTGTGTAAAAACATTCAGCAAATATCAATATTATGATTATAGAATTTTTAATTGGTTATCGAAATCAATTGACCCCTGTAATTGCATGGAAATTACTTTATTTAATTTTTGAATAAAACTGAAAATTTGATTGGATCTCACTTTCTTATCTCATCATTTAAACGAGAATAAATGGGTTTGAATATAATTTTGAACAGTTTTTGAATGAATTAATAACAACGTTACTCTTTATTATGTAAGTTAAAAATCGATATTTAAAACGTCTTTCTAAAGATTGTGTGGCAACAAAACGGGAATCCCAGCCACAAACTTGTTTAGTTTCGTAACATAATTAAATACTAATTTAATAGTTATCATATAGCAACACTAATAATTAAATGCTAAAGATGTGTGTGCCATCCGTTAAATAAACCAAGATACATTTGCTCCCAAATAGATCAAAAACATGGCTCCGAGAGGAGATGGTAATGGGCTTTTCCATCGTATGGTCACTGGAAAATAAATCCACTTTCATAAGAATTAAATAACAATACGAAAGCGTGATTGGATGCGGGTGACAGAGCCTGGATATAGTGAGGCTAAGATTCTTTGGACTCCTCACTAATCCTGTCTAAACTCTTGGCGGATAGGGAAAATCTTTCTTCTAGTCAGGAGTTTTAATAGTGAAAGAATATTGAGTGTGTTTGTTGGGCTGCAATTGAAAAACGTGTAGATATAAATTCCCACTGTCATCCGTAGGTCTCTGGCTTTCTTTAATCTCGAGAACGGCGTTAGATAGATGAAAATCGAGACCAGATGTGGAAAACTTAGGGATGGGAGGTCCGATTAATTATATACGAACTTGCGGTTTACACTAGAAGTTACTTTATTTCAATTCAAAAATTTCCCCCGGAAAGGAGTTAGATGACCGGCACGACTGTTTTGCTAACAGGAGCAAGACACTACTAATTTGAGGTGGAGAAAAATTGCAGCCCAGAGTTGTGACGATGCCACAATAAATAGTTGCTGGTTCTAGAATAAAATAGATTCCATAGTGTCTTGTTAGCTCTTACCAGGGTATATACGAGTATTTATTCGTTAAAAGTGTAGAAATCGGTTTTCTTTACGGGTTTAACCGTTAATATACAAATTACGTTTAAGAATGTCTGTAATTACATTTTAAGTGCCATATTTATTGATTAATGTCGAAATTTCTTTCAGTATCGACAAAGTTCCAAAAGTGACATCCCCGGTTCTTGTCATCCACGGTACCGAAGACGAAGTCATCGATTTCTCTCACGGACTAGCAATATACGAGCGGTGCCCCCGGGCCGTGGAGCCTCTGTGGGTGGAAGGTGCGGGACACAACGACGTCGAGCTGTACGGACAATACTTGGAACGTTTGAAGAAGTTCGTATCCATGGAGCTCATCAACTGACACGCGCTTCGCGGCCTCCCTCGAGAAAGGCGAGTGCCTTCTTCTAATACAGAAGATCCTTCACCATCCCAACGAGACGACAAATGATATCCCAATTGTAAATTCCACCTGAATATTTCCAAAATGTTTATATAATAGTTTCATCGCCCAAAAAAAAGGCATTTAACTCTCGGTGCAAAACAAACTTCTAGAGAAGAAACTAAACATTTTGCACGTTTAAGGGAACAACGAGAGGAAAGTGTTACTTAGACAAACGTTTTCTTTCCAGATTTAAATAATGGTTACGATACGAAAACGTGACGAATTTACGATATTATCTCGTAATTACTTTCCGTTCGACACTCTTTTCTTTTGGACACTTCGCGGAGTAACGTCACGATTTCTATAATATATATACATATATATATTTCGGAACTACTACTTTTTCCATCGATTATTTTTTAATGCAGGTCAACATTGCAACAGTGTCTAAGTTTTATTGATGAGGGTCGTCCGAAAGTTACCAAAAAAGCGATTTCGGTAATGGTGGACTCGGAAGAAGAGTAGCACCTGGAAGAAACGTGACGAAGTAGTAGCACCTGTTTGGGTAGCGTAGAAGTTTTAGTATCCGTGATGCAGCAGTAGCCATATATAAATTAATGGTCTCCCTTTGCTTGGCTTTGTGTCCACATCGATATATTTAAAAAAAAGAAAAATGGCCATCGTCACGGTAATATATTTTGGCATATTCGAACATTTTTGCTTTGTATCGTGCGGTTATTGAGTTGTTCTTCGTTTTTTGATCGTCGCTGGCTTTTTACGGTTTCCAAGTTTTTACTTCTGGCCTAAAATTGGTATTATTTTATCAATTTCTATGTAAAATTAGAAGATGATAAAAGGAAAAAATCATCGTAATTGCGCTTATTGTGTACGAGTGAGTGCGAGTGTCTGACGAACGAATGTTCTTCTCGTGCGCCAGTTTTAATATAAAGTTTGGGAACAGGGCTGCAGGTGTGTTAGCGTACTTCAATTAATTTAGCGTAACGTCGATGTTTCTATCGAATCATTCCAATTGGCATTGTGATATCGAACATTTGTACCTACGGTTCGTATCATAGTCTACAACGTACATACACCTTTAAATAAAAGCTCCACTTTTGTATAACGGCACTTCTTAATCCAAAAAATCCAATCGTCTACACCTAGCACAGGTATGAGAGTTTGTGTGAAATATCGCAGTGTTATATTAAAAAAGTTATTTAATCGTACATAGTTCCTGTGACAGAGTGATTTAATGATTTGGTAAATTTATACACACCTTCGTCGACACGGGTACAGTTTGTACCATAATAAAATAGTTTTATCCGTGGTTAATTTATCATTCGACGCAGTTTATATCCCGGCCCTTTTTTTGTACGTCATAAATATATATATAAAAACCACTGTCTTTTTATGTAAATAATGAAAAATATTTCGTTGGAAGTTCCTCACATTTTCAGAGAACGATGCTTGTGATTTGGAATCTAGTCTCATCCCCTCATTTTTGTCGACGTTATACTTAAATCTTAGCGGTAAAACCGTTGGTTTCCCATTAGTTAATCGAGATTCGAACACGTGACTAATTCCATCCCCTGGAGATGTACCAGGACTGCTAATCGAAACTTGAGGTTACTTTACAGAATCATCTGCAGTCCTGCCCCAAACGTGGTTACTTTTACGTTAATGGTCATGTTCTGTCGTTCTAAGAGAAACTTAAAGGAAAATTCTATTACTATGCATACGAAATTCTGCAACGGTTTCTTCCAATAGCCTACTCGATATTTTTGTGACGTAGAAACGTAAATTTGCGAATTTATTAAAACGGCAAAGGCAATTTGCCGGATTTCTACCGGATACAAACGAAAATCGAAACTTAAAATTGTTTAATTAACGTAGCGAGGAAGGGGATGGTTCCTTACGCTTTTGAAAATCTCCTCTCGTTTAGGAACGAATTAATTAGAATCATTAAAAGTTCTATTTTTAACGCGCTTTTTAGATAGGATTTTGCATTATTTTCTGGCTACGGTACTAACGCTTCGGCCGGTGGCGGGTTCGGACCCGTCGAGAATTCGTCAATCCAGTCACGGTACGAAATGCCACCGGGCCGATAAATTCGATTTAAAAATAGAGGGGGTCGTGTCGAAAGAAAAAAGGCAAGTTATAAGTTGTCGGTCTTCCTCTTTCCTGTTTGTTTAAGGTTTCTTTTTAGTGACGAATTGTAATTTTAATTAATCGACGCTCCGTTACCATCCGAAATTTTGTTTTGTTAATATACTTTTGATTTGAATGAAACGTTCTTTCGTTTGATGAAAGTATAAAACGAAAAGATGGAAGTTTTGATTGCTGTAACGAATCAAAATAAAAGAAAAAATATTGTAAACAAATGCATTTATTCCGAACGGTGTTGTACCGGCCGCCGGGAGCGGAAAAAGAACAATAAAGTCTCTTCCCAATACCTAAAGTGTAACGTGACGCGTTCAAGGACGCGCGCATTACCGGGGTGTAGGAATTGCGGGAAAAACCGCACTAGCGTCGTTACCCCCCGTGCCACTTTGTTTTTTAATAGGCATTCTCGCGCTCCTCCGGCGCAACGCCGCCTTTCTCGACATTAGCGTAACGCGTCTACAGTTTTTCCCCGGCTGTAACGGCGAAAAAGTCGATATTCCCTCCCCTCCGTAAACGAAAATGGCGTCGACCGAATGCCAATTTGAAAAAATGTCGAACGTTTGAAACGGAATCGATTTTTCCAACCGTCAATTTTTAATTTTTGAATAGCTTCATTAAAGACGGAAAAGTTTCCTCAAAAGGTGACTTTTAAAAGCCGATGGCCGGGCCCAGGCCCCCTTTAAGTGCCATCGATCGGTAGATATTTCCCTCGCATCTTTTTATTCGGGTGATGGGTTTGACGTCGGAAAGGATGTAAATTATATTCGAAACCGTTAAAATCTGGATCCAGTTTAGAAGTCATTGGTAATTTGCACGCAAATTAGTTAACGGGAGAATTTTTTCCTTATTCTTTTTACTGTTTTGCATTTTGTGTACACGCTGTCCACTCGACCCGGTTTTGACTTTTGACTAAGATCATCTCCGCTAATAGGAAACTCGGCCGTTATAATCGGCCCTATTAATAAAGAAGGCGCGAGTAGACGGTGTATACGCGGGAATTTTTCTTAATTTGAAATTAAATGCGGTGGTCGATTAAGGTCCCGGGGGGTTAGGCAAAACCATGGAAATAGACCACCGGGGATTTTCACCGACGGGTTTCCGGTCTGTTAACGCCACTTCCGAGTGGAATTCCGAGAAGGGCGTTTATCGATACGGACTCCTTCCCGTTCAGGGTCCTTTCCTCCAACTGCGCCCCGGCGCGCTTTTTAAAATAAGGGCTTTCGAACTTGGAAAAAGTCGACCTCTGGCGCAGAGGCACGAAACAGGTAATTTGGAGTGGCGATAATTTAATGGTTATTTATAGGACGAGGGTGTAGGTGTGACGTTTTCCTTCCTCCGGTTGGAGGTCGTCCGGAGCCATTTCCTTTTCGACTGGATTACGCGCCTAGGGTTTGTTCTCCTGCTATTTTCGAAGGGGAAGGGGGATGCTCGAGGCCGCTTTAATAGAAATGGCGGTCGATTCGAATTTGCCAATTAGCAACCCGGATACGGAGTGGTAACGCGAAATAGTCTCCGCCGTCCGTTCGACCGTCTTTTACGTTTCCCGAAAACGGTCCCAGTAATTTTCCGTAAGGAAAAATAGCGCCGACGTTACCGCGGGGGATTCCGAACGGTAAACGACGGCGTTAACAGCGGGAAAATAATATCTCTCGCAACGATTGTGGACGGCGGAGGAAATCAAAGTCTATTATTACAAAGGTAGATAGACATCGGACGGAAAGAAGCGCCGCCTTCCTCTCGTTGCCACTCGCTAATTACGATATTTTCGGTTTACCGAGCGCTATCGATAATCGATTAAAAAACACCGAAAAAAATCACCCTTAAGTCGACACTTTGAAATTGGCGAAATGGCAACTCGGATAAAAATATTTTGCCTTATCCGAGAAAAATTACGGTTAACACTTGAATTTAATTGCGCACGCGCTACACCAATAGGAATTCCCTTCGAACTGGCAAATAGCATTAGACGGGAGAGGAAAGTCGGATTAACCGGCGCTTTAAAAAAACCAGTCTTCCGCATACGCGTTTTGTTTTGTCGTTTGCCGTATTAAAGGCGACTCCGTCCTCGAATACCGAAAGAGAAATAGAGCGCTACCGTCGTCCAAATATTAATTAATTATAGACCGGTGTGAAATTGGTTCCGCCGAGTGGACGTTTCGTCTTAGTTTAAATAAAAAACCGAAAGTGGCCAATAAACAATACGCATTCTTTTATTTCCGCGAAATGCGCTGGTAAATTCGGCCGCGGATGCCCACCATTGACCATTTTTCCCAACCGTAGGGAATTTCGGTTCATTTTTGAAAATTGGTGCGGCCGGTTATGCGGAGAAGATGCCAAGGTATACGTATAGGTGTTGGCCATGTAAAAATGGCGTTCTTTTAGAAAATAAATGGTAAAACTGGCGGTGGGTGTTTCGGCCCGAATATAAGGAGCCCGCCGACCGAGAGAACGGAATTCTCCGAATGTACTATACCGCGCCGCGGCTTTATCTATTGAAATTGATATTTTAGTTTGGCAATTTCCGGAAAAGCTCCGATCGACCTAAATTTATCGATTGACTATTATAAATAAAATATCGCGCGCGTACAAACACGTGTCAGACGTTATTTTATTGTCGTATCGATAAAATATGTTTTTAATTATTGTTCCCGCAACTCGCAAACTTCCCCGTTTTCGCGCGTGCGTTTCAAATTCTATCCCCGATAATAAAATATGGCTTTATCTCCGACTTGTAAAAATTAATATGGATTATTATAACAGAGAATGGGTAATCGTTGTCAAACCCTAACGATATCGACGTATTTTCTGTTCCCGAGTGCCAGATTAACTAAAAGGTGTACTGTACGTGCGATTCTCGCATGTCAAATATCCTCTTAAAGAGATTCTGTGGGTATTTCGTCGATTCGTGTTTTGCTTGTATACAATTTAAACTTCCGTCGTGGCTTAGCCTATGTGGCTCTTGTGTCAAAATCCGGCAACCGGTCAACCCGTCAAATGTTATGGCTATTGGCAATAACCGCGAAACACGATTTACGATGTTAATTTCTTCGCTTGACAAACATTACGAAAACGGTGGCTTTTTCGTTGGACGCCTGCCCTCTAGTGTTCTGAAATACAACTATCTTAATGGGGTAGTTTCTAATTTATTAATATACTCCGCGCGTGTAAATACTAATGTGGATAGGATGAAAACCGGATTTACGCGATAAAAATAGTTATAAATGTAACACGGAAGCGAAACATACGGGACGGGACTTTAATCTTCAATACGGTTTCTCCTGTGCTCTGCGCATTTTTTCGGCGCGATACCGAGTCTAAGGGTAAGTATTTTCGCCGGTGTGGAAGCGATGATGCGCCTCCCGTTGCGCGTTATAGTCGGAGACAAATTGTCACCCCAAAGAATTTACTTCGGTGGCCCAAAAGTACGAAAATCGCGGTCCACCAGTGGCCTAGCGGTTCCGTTCCCCGAACACTGGGAATTGGGTGGTGGGTTGGCGTCTGGCCACGTGAAGTTTTCCGGGTTTTCTCCACCTCCGTAACGCCCGAATAGGAGCCAGTTACCCTTAAAAAGACCTCCCGGAAGGCATCTCCCTAGGCCAGGGGTCGGCAACCTGCTCTTTGGATGTGAAGCTGCGGCTCTTTAGTTCCATATGCAAATATTATTTATTTTATCAAAAAAAAAACATTTAAAAATCGTTCTGAATCGATTAACGAGGATTAGCACCGATTCTATCTCTCAGCCACTTGTACTCGCTTTTCACCGCACTCTTCCCCCGTGACACGCGTCGTCACTGTCGTCAGTCCGTCGAAAGCTCTCGAATGACGCCGTCGTCGGATGTTTCTATTATCTAATTTGTTGTGAAAAACACTACTTATATATGAATAAATAGATATTTTTTCTTATGAATAAGTAGATTACTTTTTTATCAAAAAACTTTATTTATGCGAGTACTATTTATTGTTGGCAACAAAAAATTTTGTGGCTGTTTAAAAACTTTGAAATTTTGTAAATTGTAATTTTGGCTCTTCCGACTCAAAAGGTTGCCGACCCCTGCCCTAGGCAGATCGCCCGAGTGTTGCGTTACTGTAGCTTAACTAAACAATAATGAATACAGTAGAGCGTCGGTTGAAAGAATTCCAGTCGGCAAATTTAAATTTTCGCTAGTGCCGTGCCCCTGCAATCTTTGGCTATGTCTCGGGCTACTCAAATATTTTACGTTTTTCATACTAAATTAACTTCTGAAGTATAATTTTTTATTGTTTTATATTTTTCAATATATTTATTTTGTTCGTACAAAATAAAAAAATAATTTTTAACGATACAATAGTCTTCGTTAGGCTTAACATCGACGAAAATTCAACGCGAAGCGACACGCAACGGAGAAAAATTTCAGGATGGGATAAGTTAATATATTTTTTCGTGTATAATCGGTTATCCGAAAAATAAGTTATCCGAACAACCTCAGTCCCCAATTGATTCGGATAAACGACGCTCTACTGTAAATGAAAATCGCGGGAGGGAAAGGCCGGGAGAATATGCTGGATAAGACGAGCAGCGTTTCTTTAAGCAGCGAGAGTGTAGCGAAATGACGTCACAGCAGTGCTGACCAATTAGAAACTAGTTTCGGTGTGTTCGCTGCAAAGCGCATCTCGAGCGCCGCGTAAAGAAACGCGGGAACGTCGAATTTCGAGTCGTCGATTATGTCCGGTGTCTCCGAGCCTGGTGAGGAGACGTAATGTCGCGCTGTAGACGCGCGCAGATCGCTTCTTTTGTTAGGTATCGCGGGCTTCGGGCGCTGTGTTAAAGCGACGGTTTTTTTAAAAAACAAACAATAGTTTATTCAGAAAAGTATTTACACTGTTATATTTGTTGCGTTATTGATGTTACGCTCACATAGGGTTTTCTTCGTTTACATTTTTATTCTTCCGTGTTCTCAACAAATATGTTACACTAGATCATATTTTACCTCGTTTTTTCAAATTGCACCTCCTGAAGCTTGTTTTCCACATTTTTGCTACTGTTATTAGCCTGTATTTTAGTCTATATTTGATGTTTTTGAATCGTGTTTCGTTTCTCGCAGTCCACAGTATAAATCGGGGGTCCCCAAACTTTTTATCCTATTTACCCCTTTATAGAATATTTGCCTTCTTATCGACTCCCAGATTAAGTGTTTTACAAAAGCATTAAATAATTTTTTGCATTTCGGATGTTAA